GGACCTGCCAGGTACACAAGCAAACCAAAACACCAAGCCCATTGTCCTCAAGCCTAACCCAGCTCACAGCAACCACATGTGCTGCAGAGAAGACTGCCCCACGGGGTCTTCTTGGCTGTAATCTAATCTTCAAAGAAGTAGATAAATTGCCAGACCTTTCTTCTGTGTGCCATTGAGTGTGCTCAAATAGCCAATCATTTTCAGGTTCATAGTTGAGGGCAAACTGCTGGCATCATCCAAGGATCTTAAACATCCACATCAGCTGCACAGTTGGATACACTTGCCTGGAACTCAGAGATACCTGAGCTGTTGACTATTCAATCCAGGTCCTTCTTTCCTCTGTGCCAGGTGCTGTGCTGGGTGCCAAGGACACGGGCTGAGAGGGTGCACAGGCTACACACCCTGCAGAGCTGCCAGACGGCTTGGGGAGCAGGTGTGGATGCAGGGCCCTTAGAAGCCAGGCGCAGAGGCACCCCAACGAGTCCTTGGCTCGAGGCTGAGCGCTGCCCCACTTGTTCGGAGCCTCAGGGCATGTCAGTACCGCTCTCCCAACCTCACCTCCTGCTTGGATTCCTTATAAAGACGCCTGGCCCCAAGCTGGCGCTGACGAAACATTTGTCAGATTGAATTGAAGGAAAATGAACGTTCTTTGCAAAGTGCTTTTCAAATATGATGGTTTGTAATTTTAACAATAGGGAGAATTTTTTTATTTTTTTTTATCCTCTTAGTAGCTGGTTTGAAGATTCTTCTTGAGAGAGAAGTGTGTATTTGGATGAAATGCTTTGGATAAGCTACTGTGGGGAGATTGAGATATCCCGTTAACGTGTCAGCACACACAAGTGTGAACCCCTAAGGACAGAGAGGAGCTGTGCTGGGGGGTGGAGATGAAGGGAGACAATGAAGCAAAGTGGGCTGAGCAAGGCGAGGGCGGGCACAAACCCCCGAGAGAGGAGACCTGGTCCGGGGAGCTGTTGAGGCTAAGATCCTAGGTTCTCAAGACCCCACAAAGCTTCAGTGAAATTACCAGAAGTCCCACAATGCTCTTGGAGAGCTAGAATTCCTGCAGAAGTCAAGCAAAAAAGGTGAGCTTGATACAGATGTAGACTGCGTGTGGATGGGAAGGGCCAAGCAGCTTCTCTGCAATACGTGGTACAGAGTGACAACTAAACCGGAAACCACAGCGACTCCCCCTGCTTCTGAGAGGAACTGCGATTTCAGCTTCAGTATCTGTCGCCAGACATGGATTGCCAGGCCTTTCTTCCACAACTTCCATTTCTTCGGTGGAGTCAAATCACCAGCTAATCACATACAAACCATTTGCACTTCCCGTGAAGCTTATAAAAATACAAAAAGATCTTCGAGTCACCCTAAACGTTCTTTTAATCTAATACTGAAGACACCATATTGGCAATATACTTATATTGTCCTATAACTTGAGCTGTGAGACCCATGAAGAATGTAACTATAGGAGATCAAATGGGCAACATTTGCCCAAAAGTAAAGTTGAAAAGATGATGAGGGGAGGGAGCAAGAAAATGGGGTGGATGGAAACAGGAAAGGCAAGATAGGAATAGGAGGAAAGCAGACACATTGTGAAATATCAAGCAATGTTACAGGGAGTTTGTACATGAAATGTTGAATGGGAATCTAGTTTGCCTTATAAACTTTCACCTAAAATAAGAACATGCTCCAAATATAATGAGACTATTAAAATATTCAGAAATGAAAAAAATACAAAAAGTACTTATTATATTCCTGTATCATGCATACACACACACCTGCCTACTATATATTCAGGTGCATATAACATATATCGCTGTGGTTGTGTACCACAGAGCTGGAACTGTCCCATAGCTGACCCTCTGGCAGGTTTTCGGAGGCAGTTAATTGCTCAGGAGAAGATTATCCATCTTACTCCCATGGAGCAGCTGGTGGCTTCAAACTGCATGCCTTAGGGTTTGCCACACAGCTTCTTGCCACTGTTGTTGTTATGTGCCATCAAGTCACCTGCAACTATGTACAACAGCCTTAAACCCTGCTCTATCCCTTGTCAATCTTAATGTCTTTGACACACCTACCCCCATTACCCGAGTCACTGAATCAATCCATCTCATTGAGGGTCTTCCTCTCCTGTGCTGTCCCTCCACCCTCCCAAGCATGATGTCCCTCTCCAAGGACTGGTCACTCCTTGCAACATGTCCAAAGTATGTCAGACAAAGCTTCAGAATCCTTGCCTCCAAGGAGCAGCCTGGCTTCACCCTCTCCAGGTCCAACCTGTTCGTTTTCTTAGCAGTCCATGGTATATTCAATACTCTTCTCCAGCACCACAGCTCAAAGGCATCAATTCTCCTTCTATCATCCCTAGAAATTGTCCAGCTCTCTGATGCATAGCAAGCAATTGAGAAAACCATGGCCTGTATCAGGTTCACCTTAGTCTCCAGACTGACATCGTTTCTCTTCATTACTTTGGAGAGGACAGCAGACTTTCCCAATGCAATTAATCTTTTAATTTCCTGGCTGCTGGTAGCAAGAGTGTTGATTGTGGAGCCAAACAAACTAAAGCTGTGAACAATCTCAATCTCTTCACCATCTATCATGATGCTGCCAATTGGCCCAGTGGTGAGCATCTTTTTTTTTTCTTGCTGTTGAGCCTCAATCCATATTGAAAGCTGCAGTCTTTGACCTTCTGGAGCAAGCGCTTCAGGTCCTCCACAGTTTCAGCAAGCAGGGTTGTATCATCTGCATAATGCAGGTCTATATAATAAGGCCTCAAAATTCCTGAATAATATCTATATTGTTATTGTTACTGTTATTCAGTGCCATCAAATCAGGTTTGAGTCATCTTTACTCTAAACAGAACAAAACACTGTCTCTTCCTGTGTCGTCCTCACAATCACCTTCATTTGAGCCCAGTAGTCCTGAGTCAGCCCATCTCATGAAGGGTCTCCCTGTCTTTACTGACCCACTACTTTCCCAAACATGACAATCTTCTACAAGAACTGATCCCTCCTGATAACATGCCCCAAAGGATATTAAACTGAATCTCTCCAGCCTTGCTTCTAAGGAGCTTTCTGGCTGTGCTGCTTCTAAGACAGATTTGTGAGGTCTCCTGGCAATCCAAGGAATATCCAGTATTCTTCACCAGCACCGTAAACCAAATCATGCACAATTGAAACAATATCTGTAATACAGAATAAATGCACTCCTGCATCATGAGATAGGAGTCTTGGGACTCTGTAAGAAAAGAAATGGCTAACATGTATTGAGGACTATATTAATTTGCTAATACTAGTTAAACAGAGCTCTGGTAGCCTAGTGGTAAGAAACTGTGCTGCAACCCCAAAGGCACATGGTTCGAATCTACTGAAAACTCACTGGATGGTCAGCTATGGGTCAGTTCTGACTTGTCGGTACACAACAGTTAAACCAGTGACAGTTGAGATGACTCTGACCTCTTACGTGTCAGATGGAAGTGTGCTTCTCTATAGGGTTTTCCTATGGCTGATTTTTTTTTTTTATTAGATCACCAGGCCTTTCTTCTGAGGCTCTTCAGAGTATGCTCAAGCTTACAATCTTTTGGGTTAAAAACTAAACAAAATAGCTGTATGTATTATCCAGAGACTCCTAATACTTAGCCATGCCCACAGGGTGGGTTGGGAGAGTCTCAGTGACTGGACACACTCAAAATTCATACTTCTCTAACCTAAATGTCCCCAAGGATCGGCTCGATGGTGGAGGGTTTGGATTTGGTTTCATGGGGTATATGAATTGGCTGGGCCAAGCTTAAGTGCTTGGGGGCTAATTGAAAAGCCAGCAGTTGGAGCCCATTCACCGCCCCACCCCTGTTGAGGCAGCTCTGTGAAGTGGCATTGAACCCAGGTCCTAATCCAGTTACAGAACCTGCCCTTCTTCCCTACTCTGTCCTCCCCCAACACTTGTTCAGCTCTTCAGCAGTAATTTAGGGAAAGTAAACATTTGTTGTGCTGTCGTTGGAGCTGCGGACAGGATGGTGAATGAAACAGACAAAGGTCTCTGCTGTCAGGAAGCTGGCGATTGTAAATTCTATTCTAGCCATCAAGGTTTATGAAGGTCTCATGCAATGCCTCATTCATTTGCTCCCTGAAGGTTGAGGGGCACCCACTGTGGCATTGTGCCTGAGCTGGTTCCTACCCTCTCAGCGATCACAGAGGGAATATTTTGAGCCTTCTCTTCAGCTCTGATTCCATCACTCCCTAGTCACGGAGTACTTATTCGGATCAGAGGGCCTCCCCAGGCCTCAGTTTCTTCCTCTATGAAATGATCATGCCCCTCTCCCGGCCCCGCGGGGGGGGGGGGGGGAGTTAAGCGAGCTGGAGTTCTTCAAGAGCTTGGCGGGGCGCCCAGCACCCAGCAGGGGCGCAGCCTTGGGACCGTTGCAGAGCGGGTGAGGGTGGGGGTGGGGGTGTGCTCCACACAATCGCAGATGGACCAGGCCTTGCAGCTCCCCTGATGGGCTGTGGGAATGTTTGTCAGCGTCAGTCTGGGGTCGGCCTTCTTTGCAGAAGCAATCTGCTGTTTCCTCGCGTGCGAAATGCGGGGTGACTCCCAGCGGGGCCCAGGCATGCTGGCGCCTTCATCAGCTCGGTGGTGGCAGTTCCCAGCCGGAATCAAACCGTGCCAGCTCCACAAGCTTTAGCTGATCCTCAGAAGCCTCAGCGCCGGGACAACAGGCAGGGTTTTGAAGTCTGAGGCCTCAGATCTTCTTGGCTTCACCACGGGGTGGGTGTGGGTGTGTGTTCGCACGCGCGCGCGTGTGTGTCGTGTGTGTGTGTGTGTGTGTGTGTGTGTGTGTGTGTGTGTGTGTTGATTCACCGGGCAGATGTCCAAACACACGAAGCGCTGCCTGCCTGCCTCCCAGGGTTGGGGACAGAGCCGCCTGCGCTTCAGAGGCACAAGGGGTGGGCGCGGAGCCCCTGGAAGCTCGTGTGTCTCATGTGGTCCTTCTCCCGCTTGTTTTGCAGGGAACTTCAAAGGTCTGTGCAAGCAAATCGATCACTTCCCAGAGGATGCAGATTACGAAGCTGACACAGCAGAATATTTCCTCCGTAAGTGCAGTTGTTTTTTTGTGTATCTCCCTCCCAGTGGTGGGTCCTGCCCTTCCATCCTTCACAGAGCCTGATCTGCACAAGAGGTCCCAGTGGCAGCAGAGAGCAAGGGAAAACTGGGCCTCCCTCCTACCCTTTTGCGTCGGGAGGCTGGGGGCCCAGAGCTCTCAGCACCGCTGCAAGGCAGTGTGGTCCTGTCTGTTTCACAGCCACTCGGTTCCCACCCTGTCATCCCTCCTAAGCAGAGAGTCTACCTGACCTCACTGGTCACCTTTCTCTTCCAAGTCGACTTCCCTGTACAGAATAAGCCCCTAAATATTGTTTCATCACACCCTCTGCCTGCAACAGCCTTCCCTCCTATCTTTGTGCAGCAAACTCCTACTCATCCCCTAGGTCTCAGCTGAAACCTCACCTCCTCCAGGAAGCCCCCTTTGCCTCTCACAGGGCTGCCCAGAGCCCAGCACTGCTACCAGGCAGTGGTGATCCTGTCTGATTGTACTCCTTACCCATCCTGTCATCTCTCCTAGGGCAGAGACTCTGTCCCTTTTGCTCACCATTGTGATAAACACTAAAATCGTTCTTCAATAACTGGATGAATAAACCCACCAGGCAGTTTCCAGATTGCAACTCCTACTGGAGGAGAAAAAAAGAGAGAGAGAGGTTTTTTTCCTCCCCCATAAATCAAGTCAAAGATAAATCCTAGTGAAACTGCTGCGACCTTAAATCCACCTGAGACTTATTATTATCAAGAGAAAGCATTTTGAGACCCAAAGGAAAAGTCTCGAGAATCTACAAAAACTAACAAGGCAACCTGTTCGCAGAGAAAGGGATTTCCAAGAGAGGGGCTGAGGGTGCTTGACAGTCCGGGACAGCAGCTCCGCTGAGCAGGAGTGGTTAAAGGCTCTGCTTCAAAGCTCTCTGCTCTCCTCCCGGAGAGGCGCGTTTTCTCCCATGCACCCCCACTTCTGCCCTCCGATGCCCTTCTGAGCACAGGGAGGCTGACCGAAGCCTTCCTCCCCGCCCCCTCTGCAGAGCAGTTAGCATCACCCTCGGATCGCATTTATGAAAAATGTAAGAGGCGTTTTATTGCACGGCTCTCCCCTGCCTCTTTCAATAATTACTCCCCACATCAAACCCAGCTCTCAGGCTGGCCTGGCATCTGGGTTTCACTGGAAAGCCCATGCAGTGTGAAGTCAGCCAGGCAGCTGGAAAGAGGGGGAAGGAAGCCTGATGCAATTTCCAGATCTTCTGAAAATGGGTGGGAGAAAAAAATTTAATATATACCTGTATCTCTTACAATGCTTGTTTCCTTGTACCAATTCCCTCAAGACTCTGCCCTTGAATGAAGTTCCTAAAGGGCCATTTGGTTCTCGTTACCTGTTACAAAGTAGGGGCTCTTGCCAAGGCTGTTTGGGAGATGTGAGAGATGCCAGTACAGGCAGCCTGGATTGAGCACCTTTTGTATACAAAAGCTCATGCTCAGTACCGGGGAGGCGAAGGTGGAAGAGTGAGGCACAGAGCAAGGAGCTCACGACCTGGTGAGGAGGCCCCTCGGAGCTCCAGCTCGTCCTGGGAGACGTGGTACGGCAGAAAGAAGGCTGGATACTGCCCTGGGCTGGGGGTGAGCAAGGCTGGGCTGCCATGTGGGGAGTGGCCCTCCTGGGCACAGATCTCATCTAATAGAGTGCAATGAGGCTGCAGCCCCCCATTAGCGGGACAGGAAGCTCCTGGGACAGGAAGTTTAACTCAGTACTGCTTTGCTTAGCACAGCTCACGGAGTACAGCAGATGCTCAGTAAACACTGTTTGCTAAATAAAGGAAGATCTAGGACCTGCCAGCGGCTCTGTCCCGCTATCCTCTGCCTCAATTCCCTCATTTTTAAAGACAGCAGAGTGTATGGTTCATGTTGCAATCCCTGGACTTGAACCTACATTGTTGTTGTTGATTGTCTTCGAGTCGAGCATGACTCATAACGACCCTATGAACAAAATATCTGAAGCCCCTCTGCTATTGACATTTATCAATGTTCACAGAGTTTCCAGAGGAAACTGTTGTTTAGGAATTGGATGCCACTCCTGCTTCCAAACCTGTCATGGTATGTTATAGTTATGTGCCATTACGTTGCCTGAGACATATAGAGACCCTATGTACAGCAGCTCTGAACCCTGCCCTATCCTGAGCCAGTCTCACTAATTCTGACACACAACCCCTATTTCCCCAGTGTCAGTCCATCTCATCTAGGGTCTTCCTCTCCTGCGCTGTCCCTCCACCCTTCTGAGCATGATGTCCTTCTCCAAGGACCGATCTCTCCTGGCCACGCACCCAAAGTGAGGCAGAGCTTCAAAATCCTAGGCTCCAAGGAGAGACTTGGTTTCACCCTCTCCAAGACAGACTTAGCAGCATGGGATTCTGAGTGGAGCTGACTTATTCCAGCAGTATGTTTTGAACATCCATAACAGGATTCAGGAAACTCTTAGAGGGTTTGCAGGTCGTAGGAGGCCCTGGGTGGTTCAGTCAGTTAATACTTTTGGCTGCTAGTTGAAAGGTTGCACCTTTGAATCCCTCCAGAGGTGCCTCAGGAGCAAGGCATGGTAATCTACTTCTAAAACAAGTCATTGAAAGCCCCAGGAAGCACAGATTCTCTTTGAGCCATGTGGGGTTGCCACAGTTGGAGCTGACTCCCTTAGACTGGCTGCACAGGTCCCTTCTTCATTTGCTGTTGTGGTAGAAGCCACAACAGTGTGGCTGTGTTACAATAAAACGTGACTTACAAACACAGGCTGCAGGCTGGAATTGGCAGTGTATGGGGAACCTTGACCTGTGCTAGATAATGTTAATAAACAACAGGGACATAGGCTCCTATCATGTTCGGTAGTCAATTGTCACCAGAGAACATTGCACGCTCTGTGGGTGTCTGGACCAAGGACCTCACCCCAGTAAGGGAGATGGGCGTGGTCATGACTAGAGGTAGGCGTGATGTTGACTGGAGGTGGGTGGGGATTAGCCGCTGGGGGCGGAGCGTGCATCAGCTCTGAGTTCCCACTGACGTGGGCGCAGCAAAGCTACCACGTGCCAGCACGTGAGGCTGTGACCCTGAAGCTTTACAAACTGGCCAGGATTGTGGCCAGGGGTGAGGACAGAGGCAAGGAAGGCGAGCTGGAGAAAAGGGACAGATTATAATGTTCTTGTCATCAAAGAAAGCCCGGGGTGGAAGGGAGCCTTGGTCAGTGGGCGTTTCCTAGAGGAGGTGGTTTTGGTGGGTGTCTCTGAATGAAGACGGGAACCTGAGAGGTGGAGCTAATGGGGAGAAGTAGGCACCTGTTTTCGAGAGGGTCCTCCAAGCAGGGCTGCAGCAGGGTATTGGGGATCCACGTCTGGGTCCCGCGGTAGCTTGTGCATGATTGAAGGGCGCATGCTCAGCACGCAGTCGGAGAGGCCCGACAGGCCTAGCTGAGGACCACAGGGGAAAGCAGATTTTGTGTCCTTGTGATGGTAGCTGTAGAGGGAGAGCTGATGGAGAAAGTCAATCTGACCGCTCATGGGGCGGATGGATCAAAAGAGGGTGAGAATGGAGGCAGGCAGGCAGGGAAACTGATACAGTTGTTATTCAGGTGAGAGATGATGGTGGCTGGGACCCCAGTGAGATAAAAAGCTGACAGAAAGGCAGAAGGGACAGGAGGAGGTAACAGGTCACTGGCAATGGGCAGGGAGGCGGGCACTGCCAGAAGCAGGACAGAAATAGGATGTGGCATTGGGTTTCCAGAGGGCATTGGAGGGAGGGGTCCTCTGGGTCAGTGGATAACCAAGGTAGAAAGGGGCTCAAGAATGCAGACCCTTATCTGCCAGACTAGACGTCTTCCAGACGCCATGTCCCTGTCACTTCACCTCTCTGAACCCTAGTCTCAAAAAAAACCCAAAACTAATAATTACACCCTAACATTGAGTTGACTGGTCATAACCCTGTAGGACAGAATAGAACTGCCCCATAACGTTTCCTAGGCTCTAAGTCTTTATAGGAGAAAACTAGTTCATTTTTATCCCACAGAGAGGCTGGTGGGTTCAAACTGCTAACCTTTTGATTAACAGCTGAGCACTCTAACCACTGGACTACCAAGCAGTCCCCAGTCTCCATCACTGTCAACATCATTGTGAGTCAAGGCAACGCAGTGAGCCAAGGATGGGGCAGGGGTGACTCAGTGGAAGGATTCTTACTTTCCATGTGGGAAACCCTAGTTTGATTCCTGGCCAGGGTGCCCGGTGCACAGCCCACTGTTTATCACTGGACGCTTCTGGGTTGCTGTGACACTGAACACTGGTTTCATTAGCACTTTCAGGTTAACAGAGGCCAGGAAGAAAGGTCTGGCAATCTACTTCCAACAGTCAGCCAGTAAAAGCCCTGTGGATCACATTTCCACTTTGACACTCAAGAGTCTGATCTGAAACGTCCTGTGGAGACAGCACACAGGACCAGGCATCATATTGTGCCATCGTACGTGGTGGGGTCACCATCAGTCAGTGACAAGAGGTGCTAACAACAGCAGTGGATCAGGACCTGGTTGTTGTTATTGTTGTTGTTATTGTAATGTGTGCCATCGAGTCAGAATCAACCCATAACTGGCCCTTCAGCAGGTTCTCAGAGGCAGTAAATCACAGGGGAGGAGATGACCCATCCTTCTCCCGCAGGGCAGCTGGTGGGTCCAAATCGCATGCCTTTGGGATCTGCAATACAGCTTCTTACCAGTAGGCCAGAAACTCTCCTAGGTATGTGCCTGATAGCAGCTTTGAAAACCCCCTTGGGAATAGGTTGTATTAACCACAACAGCAGCTTCTAAGCTTCCCATATGCATTCATTCCTGTGATGGAATCCATACATGCTGGCAAGGCCCTTTCTGTGTGCTACGCACCGTTCTAGCTTCTGGGGGTTGAAGACTCAACTAGCTAAACAGGCCACACCTCTGTCTCTTGAAAGGTGCCAGACAATAAATGGACAGATGCACAAG